GCGTGCTGGGCGCGCTGGCGCGGGGCGGGGGCGCGGGCCTCGCGCGGCTGTCCTTGGACTCGTGCGTCGTCGTGCGCCCCGAGGATGCGTCCTTGATGCTGCAGGACCTTTCGAGGTTTCCCGCCCTCAAGAGCCTGCGGATCACCTTTGGCCGCACCCGCCTTGAGCGCGCGGCGGTTGCTGTTGACAACGCGCTGCTGTCGGAGCTCGTCGCGCCGCTGGCGCGCGTGCGGGGGCCTGCGCTGCGCAAGGTGGTGCTGCGGGTGCCGTCTTGGGTGCACTCAAGGGGTATCACCTTGGGCAAATGCGCCAAATTGATGAAGAAGAACCCAGGACTGAGGATTGAATTGGTGTAAGTCACGTCTGCAGGAGAGGTTACACTTGCACACACTGGCTGCCTGCTTATGAGATGCATAGTGCCAGTCATGGGTATCAAAAGGGAAACCCAGGCACAGCAGCAAACAGGTGGATGTATAGTTTGATAATCTACACAGGCCTCTCAAGGCACTCCGCTCAGACTCTGTGCGATTTGGTATGTATGACTGAAAAGAGGTAACGTCAATTGCTCGCTGGGAGCATCTCAAAGAGTGTCTAGAAATATCACTTGGCCTCGCACAAGAAGAAGCACGTAATCCTACCTAAAGCAAACAAGCTACACAGCTTGGCAATGCACACAACACCCTCCCTTACACCCAGCTTCCACCCGCCGCTCTGCCGCTTCACACCAGCAACGGGGGCAGCGACCGGATGCGCGTCAGCCGCCACCCGCCGCCTGCCCGCCACACCGCCTCGAACTGCACCGTCGCCCGCGAGTCGAACGCCCCCACCTCCCTGCCCCCCGCAAACTGGCGCCCCGATTCGTGCAGCGCCGCCTGGATGAAGGCGGTGCGGGGCTGCTGCTGCGTGTGCTGCGCGTGCTGCGTGACGGGCGGCGGCTCCAGGGCCTCCACCTGTAGGCTGCGCAGCTCCAGCTCAAAGTGCCTGGTGGAGGCAGGTTAAGACAGCAGGTCAGCCAGAGGCCGTCAGGCGCGGTGAGATGGGGTCGAAATTCAGCATGGCTTGCAGGAGGCTCGAGGGTTAACATGCATCGGACGCCTGACTGCAGATGTGCGAGAACCTAGCAACAGCAAGCACCACCCATGCGTGGCGAACCCGCCGTCAAGGCGCGGGCTTGAGCACTCACTCGCCGCGGGCGGAGCCCTGCAGCGCCTGCTGCCGCCACGCCTGCAGCAGGGCCCCATCCATGACGTCACCCAGGCCTGACGCGTCATGCGACTGCCCAAGCGCCGCCTGCCGCGCCGCGTGCCAGCGGAGCAGCAGCTGCTGGGCGGCTGCCGCGTCCAGGTGCTCTGCAGTCGCCGGTGTCGCCGGGCCCGGAGCGCCATCAGTTGCAGCTGCTGCTTCTGCTGCTGCTGACCATGGCTGCAACAGCGCCAGGGTTCGAAAATGCGCGCCGCTGTGCGCTGCGGCGACCTGCGCCTCTGCCTGGGCCGCTTTGAGCGGCGCCGCGTGGAGCGGCAGGCCACCCTGCTTCCAGGGCCCCGCCCCACCCGCCGACAGGCCAAACGCCGCCAGGCCAAATGCGGCTGCGGCGGCCCAGGCCAGTGTGCCTTTCACAACAGTGTCACCGCTTGCGGCCAGCGCGATGCTGGCGCCGCTGCTGGCGCCACCCGGCCTGTCAAGAGCTTGCAGATCCTCGGTCCCCTCAAAATCCAGGTCTGCCGGCTGCAGCACCGCCGCCACGCACACTGCTGCCACCCACGCCGCCCCTTCCACAGGCGCCGCCAGCAGCTGCCCCGCCCCGCGCCCGGCCGCGCGCAGGCCCTGCACCAGCGCGCGTGCAGCTGGGGCGCTGCGCCAGGCGAGCTGGCTGTGAGGCGCCGGGGCGGGCGACCAGGGCACCCTCACCCAGGGCGTGGCCGCCCCTGCGGCTTCCAACAGATCCAGCAGGCCAGAGCCCGGCGCACTGGCGCCCAGCTGGAGGAGGCAAGGGGCGCAAGCCCAGGGCGGTGAGGCACGACAGCAGGAGGCAGGCAAGTGAGACAGCAGGCCGTCCGCATGCGCCTGCCTTGTTCGCGTTTGTGCCTGCAAGCGACGGGGTCCTGGTGCTGCTGCCCTTGCCCATGCAAATCGCACCTCATCTGATGAACCCATCCCGCAAAGTGACCGCAAATGCAATCCGGGCACCCACGCGGCGACTTTCCTTCTCAAGGACTGCGCACCTTGATCATGGCTTCCACTTGCGGCGTGAACCAGTCACGTTCCAGGTCCACCGGCGACCGTGCCTCCTCAACACCCTCCTCACCCCCCTCTCCCTCCAGCGTCGCACCGCACTCAGGCCACTCCGTGAGCACGCAATCCTCCAGCCACCCTGCCAGCCACCCGAGCTCGCCGCCAACCCCGCTGTCCTCGCCGCCGCGCACCGCGCCGGCCAGCCGCCCCTCGCCTGCCTCAGTTTGCTCCTTCAGCAGCAGCGCGCACGCCGCGCGCGCGTCGGACGCGTCCCCCGCGCCCGCGCCGGCGAGCGCGTCGAGGAGGCGCCGCGCGCGCCGCACGAGCTGGGGGCGTCGCAGGCGCCAGGCCTCGGCGATCAGGGCCAGCGCCGTGGCGTGGAGCTCGCTTGGGGGGCAGTGGGCGCCGGGTGGGGCGCTCTCGTACAGAGACACCTTTGGGTGGGGGGGGGATGATTCGTGGCGGCAAGGTAGTGTGTCGGCCTGCGTGCTCGGTTCTGTGAGTGAATGTGTGAGCTGTTCAGTTGGTGAGTGAGTGCGTAAGTGGGAAGAGCGGACACACGAGTGCATACGTGTGTATATTCCCGCACATCTGTGCCCATGCTGAGCTTAGTTAAGACTTTCCGTTTGCACTCTCATGTGTCGAAGAGCGGCGGCCTCGCTGTGTTGCCGCCTGGCCCCTCATCTCAACCCCTCCACCCCCCCCACTGTGCCCCACCTGCTCCGCAGCCGTCAAGTTGCCGCGGGTGAGCCGCAGTATGCGCTCCCGCGCCCGCCCCTCGATGATCTGGTGCTCCCCCAGGCCAAACAGCAGCCCAGAAAGGCACTGAAGGCCGTCCGCCCTCGCGGCAGCAGGGGCGACCGCCCACTCGCCGCCGGCCTCCAGAGCTGCGGCCGCGGCCGCGGCCGCCGCGACGGCGGCGGACGCACGCGGCGCCGCCAGCTGCTCCTCTACAACCGCCACCGCCAGGTCGGCCGCGGCCTGCCGTAGCTGGAGCTGCAGCCCCTCCGCGCCGCCCTCGCGCGCGAGGCGCCCGGCCGCGCGCAGGGCGCCGTGCCGGGCGGCGGTTGGGCCGCTGTCGCGCGCGCCGCCGATCGCCGCAGAGGCCACGGCCAGCGCGGCGAGGCCGGCCGCGACTGCGACGTCCCGCCGCTCGACGGCGCTGAGGCGGTCAAACTTGCCGCCCCCCGCACCGCCGCCGGCGCCCGCGAGCGGCGGGCCCACCCCGTGCTGCGCGTCCAGCAGCTGCGCGGCGACTGCCACAACGGCGTCCCACTCCCCGGCCTCCTGCAGGAGCGCAAGCGCCCCCGGCAGGTCGTGCAGGGACACAGCCTGGAAGGGCGCGCCGCCGCTGCCGCCGCCGCCGCCCCCGCTGACCGCCTGCTGCGCCAGCCATTCGTCGTACTCCTCGCGCTGCGGCCTGTCGAGCAGGCACTCGGCGGCGCGGCGGATGAGGACGGATCGGGAGAAGAGGGCGTCCTGCGAGGGTTGAGTGCGGCAGTGGGACGGGGTAGCGTTTCGGGGGCGAGGCAGTGGCGTGGCGAAAGAAATGCTGCTGAGTGGCGGCCGTGGTCTTGGGTGGGGCGCCCGCGGGGCGGAGGGCACAGCGGGACGACTGGGCAGCACCAGCAGGCGCCCCGCCCCGAGACTCGCCTGCGAGTAGCCGGCGTGCGCCGGGGACGCGCGTTGCAGCTGCTCTGCGGCGCGCCGGATCACGTGGCTGCCCGCACGCAGCGGCAGGCCGAGCAGCGCGTAATGGTCAAGGAGCGGCAACCAGACGCCCGCCGTGCGGCGGTTGGAGGCGG